GTGGGCCCTCCAACCCAATTCAAGCATGGCCTCCATAAGCCGAACTGGAGTCTATGTGCCAGTTATTGGACCACCTGCGGCGAACAGGGATGTTGGTGCATCAGTGAGGGTTCCTGCATGGATCCGGGGTCAACTGTGCGAGTCAGAAGGCCTCCCGCGTCAAGAAAGGGACCAATTGAAATGATGTATCCCTCTGAAGGCCTCCGGATCGACTAGGGGGTCCCGCCCCGCGTCACCAGAATGGCAGCCGGAAGACACCCCGCGGTGGAACAGAATGGCCCTTCATCCCTCAACTGGGAACAATATGTGCCCCATAGTGTTCATTACAATGGAACTCTTGTCCGGAAGGAAATGATGGCTCTCATTAGTGTTGAAAAGGGCAGGTTCAAATGGGCTCAAACACGAACAAGACTATCCCATGTTCTCCTGAGAACGTTCATTCTTTTGCAGAATCCATCACTGAAACAGCTCATATCAAAAGGTTTGAGTCCGCGCACCCGAAATATCGGGAACAGGGACAGCTATGGTCGGAGTTTCAGTTTCTGTAAAACCGAATGGTAACATTGCAGGTAACACCAGACGGCGGGTGCTGTGCGCGCGGGAACAACCGTCGTTAAGTAAGAATTCAAATTGTCTTTCAAAATTAATTCGCGTCGTTCAACGATAAGACTGGCCATATCATTTTTGAGCTTTGAGGTCGTCCTCTGGACAGTAAGACTGTTACAACAGCATGGAAAATGGAGATTCTTCTCTTACTCTTCTAGTCCCACCACCAGATGCCAGCACCACATCGCTGTGCTGTAAAGACCAATCCGTCCTTATCATTAATCCAAAAATACATTGGTGAGATACATGCCAGCACTAGCTTCTAAATGCACGATTTGTGTCATAAAGCGTTTAAAGTGCTCCCTACACATAAGTCATCATTTTCGCCCACTCGTTGTTCCTGACTTATTATAGACTGCGAACCCGACGCTGTGCAGCCTAAGGAGACTGCAACGCCTGTCGGCGAGGTTTTTGTTGCTAAGATTTACTAGCGCGGGTGTTCAAAGCTACGTTTTATGATTTGTATCACTAATAGATTCTGACTAAATCCTGAAAATTTCCAGTAATACGAATTTTTGACAATCTAAATCTACGATCTACCTTCGCAGAGTCCCTAATATTTCTATACAATCCAGATAAGAATTCTGGCGAAGCTTCTGAACTCTGTCAGTTTAGGAAGGGTCCTCAGCACCATTGTAAATTGGAGAACGCCGGTTATTTATTTTATGCAATCATTTTACACCTGATTTCTTCATTTTGTTGACCACACAATGCAGGCAAATTTGTCTGGCGATAGCTGGAAAGTTTAAGAAACAACATACCAAATTAGCCTCTGCCTTTGCCGTCACATGGTGATAAATCATATGAACCTTGTTTTCTGTGGTAAGTATGTTTTGGGAACCCGAAAAAATATCAGAGCAATGCCAGTTTAAGCCCAAAGCCAATTTCTTGAGTAATGGTTTCGGTTGAACAAAAACTTGCACCGCGTGTAACGGCCACGAAAAGGCCAGGTCTGTGGTCAGCAACGTAACCACCAAATTGCAATTTCACTGATTTCATTCCCGGTCCCGTTCGATTTGTCGTCAGGGCGATCGCCAGCTGGAATACGTGACGTCATGCGTGCTGACGTGCTCTCAGTGTGTGGCCTGACAGTGAAGTTTTTTAGCTTCGCTTCCCCCCCCCCCCCCTCCTCTACCCTTCACTTCACTCCACACAATAACTCTGGCTTACCACCGACCATGACACACTGCTGACAAAGGGGTGCTTGGAAGTGTGGCTTCTGTTCCAGTATTACCATCATCTGTCCCATCCGTATGTTGAGTGCTTATTCCCATTTCTAATCAAATTCAATTTATCTCCTCATTTTAAGTGTTTTCTTGTAATGCTATTAATTTACTGGGCAGTGCAACCCCACATCACACCAATCACTGTCACTCATCTTTTCATGGCTACTCTTGACATTTCAATTCCCTACTTATCTATCTTACGTCGCATTTCCCCAAAATTACAGACGAGTGCCTCCAACCCACCTAAAGCGCTTGCCAACGCAAGAGCTACCAAATCAAACTCCCGCTTCAGTCAGAGGGATTTTGTAATCTGGTAGCACTTTCTCTCTAAGCCGCCGGCTTACAAAAATTCCTGGCGTCGGTCAGCCGGCGCGTGACCGCCACAGGCCACGTGACTGCAGTTACGTACCGTGACGTAGGGCGAATAGTGGGCTGTGACTGGTGCTGACAAACGTGCTGACGACAGATTGAACGCGGCCCCCATGTTGTATAAAGTATGTTTCAACTCTGCCACAAGCAGGGGTAAATACTCTGTTGTATCCTTACATGCATATTTGGATGTATAAGGCATGTAGGAATTTCTGATATTATTGTCTCATAAAAGTTTGCAACACTACTCCAAGCAACACGGTCATTTGTGCAACATGCCACTCAGTTCCATTTTGCGTCGTTTAGCTACAAATAAATATGCTGCTTTTGCCTATCAAGCTAGTTTTCAGCACTCACACATACTGTGTCTTCTAGATAACGATTTGTTTTACAACATGCATGCAGAAGTCCCGAAATGTTATGACAATTAACGAACAGGTGGAAAACCAAATCACCTTGGATGTTTCGCAAACTCAAGCAAAAAATGGCGGCTGATCTTCCATGGCCTTCAACACGCATAGGAAAACAAAGAACACTGTTCACGTATTGCACCCAGTGAATAAATGTCTCAAGATTCGGGCATTGCGACAGGCTCGTCGCGTCCGGCACCGTCCCCGGTCTTTCAGAATGTCATTCTTTCCTACCCGTCTCCATGCATTCCAAAGCGTATTCACGGCGAAGGGTTAACACCTGTGTGGTGGCGGCAGCTGTGTGCCAGAATTGCGACCAACGTGGCGTTATTCTGCATACCTGCGGATATGGGCTAACAGTTTCACCTAGATTCAGCTTGTTTTGACTTCCGATATCCGTATGTAGTTCTTTGTCTGCAGTAAGCTTTTGCCAAGCTTACGCCTTTCCCCCATTGGTAAGGACCTACCTGACGGTGTCAGTCAGGTGAGAGCCTCGCACCCAATGGCGACAATCAGGCGAGAACCTCGTCCTGAATTTGGCGTTACCTTGTCCAGCGTGGATGTGCTGCTCCATCTCAGCCGTTCACCGCTGCAGCTGGTCCCCGACGAAGCCGCGCTGTTCGAGCGCCACACAAACAAACGGCCTCAACCGAGAGCGTGCAAACAGCTGCCCACGTCACCCTTCCACTGATGGTCTCGTTAACAGCGCCGG